AGTGGTTTATTTTTTTCTACTGCTTTTGCTGTTCTGTAACCTCTCCAGAGATGGGACGCGGGTGCCGCTGTGGGTTAAACCACAGAGCCTAGGACATGCCGATCAGAAGGTTGGCAGTTTGAATCCCCTTGATGGGGTGAGCTCCCGTTGCTCGGTCTCTGCTCCTGCCAACCTAGCAGTTTGAAAGCACGTCAAAGTGCAAGTAGATAAATAGGTACCGCTCCGGCGGGAAGGTAAACAGCATTTCTGTGCGCTGCTCTGGTTCACCAGAAGTGGTTTAGTCATGCTGGCCACATGACCCAGAAGCTGTACGCCGGCTCCCTCAGCCAGTAAAGCAAGATGAGCGCTGCAACCCCAGAGTTGGTTACAACTGGACCTAATAGTCACGGGTCCCTTTACCTTTAAACCTCTCCAGAGAGCAGTAATGCACTAGCATTGTGGGAACACCTCAGAACAAGCTAAAGCAGAATAAATTTACCACTAATGTGTTATCATCATGCATTGGTCTGGGGAGGCCCAATACTTGTCCCTTTCCATGGTTTGGCATCGTCTAAAGACACACCTGTTCTGTCTTTCGGGGTCTGAAGGAAATTCTGTGCCTTTTTATAGTTTTGGGGTTTTTGTCTGCTGCATCATGGAAGTGATTCGGTTGTTGTTTTAAGCAGGTGGTTTTCAATTTTTTTTAGATTTATTGTTGTATTTAGGTATTTGACTACGCTGTAAACCACTCTGGGAGGAAGGGTAGTCTGGGAATAAACTAAGACAACAAAAGTTTATTTCTTTACAGAATCTTTGTGGGCCAACCTAGAAATTGCTTTCTTCAAGGATCTGGTGAGCATTTATCAGAGGCTTGCCACTGCCAAGCTGTCTTCTCTCATTGAACATACAAGATATCCCGAGGAAACACTCCAAGTTGTTTTGCTTCTCCATGTCCTCCGAATGCTTTATGAGGTAGGGAAGCGCTTGAAATGAAGGCGTGAGGTGTCACAGGAGAGATCTAACTGGTGAAGGGACCAGCTGTATATGTAAACCTGGGAACCAGGCAGAGGGCCTTCTTGGTAGTGGCGCTCACCCTGTGGAACGCCCTCCCATCAGATGCCAAAGAAATAAACAACGATCTGACTTTTAGAAGACATCTGAAGGCAGCCCTGTTTAGGGAAGCTTTTTAATATTTGATGAATTATTTTAATTTTTCGCTGGAAGCCGCCCAGAATGGCTGGGGAAACCCGGCCAGATGGGCGGGGTATAAATAATAAATTATTATTATTACATTATATTATTATAAACCATGTAAATGGTCCCAGTGTCAGTCCCCAGCATCTCTAGGTGGAGTTGGGGCGATCCTGTCTGGAATTGCGGATGCTGCCTGCTGGTCAATGTTGAAGCAAACAGAGCTAGTCTTGAGTATACACACTGCTGCCTAAACAGTTTAAATTGACGAGCCATTCACTTGGCACCTCACGGTTCTTTCTCTTCCCCATGGTGGAAGCAGAGGAGGCTGAGGACCACATCCTGAATCTCTATGGCATACCCCTCCATTAGGCAGTATAGCAGCAAAGTCTTTAACTTTCCTACTAACAGACACACTGTGGCATGTCTAGAACAGTCTACGTCTTTAAAAAGCCAAGAGGATCTTGCTCAGAATAGCTTCTGCATGGTGGCTACTCCATTCAGTAACCAGCTGCTACCAGGAAGTCTTGAGGTGGGGCAGAAACTTCATCCACCACCTTGGAAATGTGAAATCAGAGTTCAGCAGGGGAATCCCTGCTCAGGGTGTGAGAATCTACTGCTTTTGGGGGGTACATTGGTTGGACTTGGAACTAATGTCTTCCCAATAGCTGCACCAACTCTTTGAAACTCCCTACAAAGCTCACCTTACTACAGTGGTACCTCGGGTTGCAGACGCTTCAGGTTACGGACGCTTCAGGTTAGACTCCGCTAACCCAGAAATAGTACCTCGAGTTAAGAACTTTGCTTCAGGATGAGAACAGAAATTGCGCTGCAGCGGCGGGAGGCCCCATTAGCTAAAGTGGGGCTTCAGGTTAAGAACAGTTTCAGGTTAAAAACTGACCTCCAGAACGAATTAAGTTCTTAACCCAAGGTACCACTGTGCATCCATATATTTCCTATATTCTTATGAGTTGGGTTAGCTGGTTTTATTTTTGTATTAATTGGAGCTACTAAGTTATGGTGTCTTTCTTTTGTAATTGGCTAATTTTGGTTTTTAACCCTACACTTACAAATGCAGGTAAATTGTAGAAGAAGCTTCAGAATCCAGGAAAGCAACTTCCACATCCCTGGAGTGATAAAAATGCTGGCTCTTCCAGATATTCTTAAAGGAGTTGAGGTAGTTTAACATTCAAGTGTTATGTTACTCTTGCCATCTCGAAGTTGTTTTCCAGTGTATAGAAAAAAGAAAAGAAAGTCTCTCTCTCTCTCTGGATAAACCAAACTTCCTTTACATCCTCACTAGGAAGTTATATTTTTTAAAAAATCAGTAATTGGCAGGTGCTTTTTTTGAGAAGGGCAAAAATGAAAGTGCTAATTTTACATTTGGAACAAAATGTATTTAATCTTCACAGAGAATAGAGCCATGTTTCCATATTCTCCACTTTCTTCATACCGATTTTTAAATACTTTTATCTCATGTTGTAAGTTACTTCTCTGTGTCATTTCAGCTGCTCAGAGAACTCTTAGCGTTCCCTTTTATCTTTGAGATGGAAGTTAAGGTGTTCCTGCATCAAGCAGCATGCAACACTCTAAATATGATGGTATGTATACCCAAAAATATTACATAGCATGTAGGGTCGCCAAACACTAACAACTAGTAACACCAACGTTTGTATCCTCATAGGCAAATTTTGGCACGACCAGTGAACTACTTGTAAGGAGACAACATCTGGTACAGGATACCTGGCAGAGTTTAAGAAATGCAAACAGAGGTCACCAAGCCCTTAGGGTAAGAAACCAAATTTCATACCTATACTCATGACTGTGGAACATTCATTTAGGTGCATTGTGAGTATTTATGATCAAAAGACTGCATACATATTCCCAGATTTTTAGAGGCGAGATCCATGTGGACAATACACTCGCACCTTGTTGGGTCACTAAGCTACTTCTATGGGAACAGAACAGTGGACTTTAGCCAACAGGTATAAAGAAGCATTGCAATTTCATCATAGAATATGCACAAGTGATCACTAAGGAAACTGAGTTGTTAGTCAAGGGTATTGTATACATGAATCCAACTCCTCGAAGGATTCCATCAATGGTGTCTCCGAAAAATTTTACACATCACTTGGGAAAACAGGTGTACTAATATCAGTGTACTGGAAGAAGCAAAGATCACCAGTGTTGAAGCAATGATTCTTCAACATCAACTTTGTTGGACTGGTCATGTTGTGCGGATGCCTGATGATCGTTTTCCAAAGCAACTACTCTATTCCGAACTTAAAAATGGAAAGTGTAATGCCAAACAAAAGAGGTCAACAAAAGAGGTTTAAAGGCTGTCTCAAGGCAAATCTAAAAAAATGTAGTATAAACACTGAGTAGTATAAACACTGACAACTGGGAAACACTGGCCTGTGAGCGCTCCAGTTGGAGAACAGCCTTTACCAAAGGTGTCATGGGCTTCGAAGACACTCAAACTCAGGACGCAAGGGAGAAAAGTGCTAAGAGGAAGGCATGCTTGGCAAATCCACACAGTGATCAACTCCCACCCAGAAACTAATGTCCCCACCGTGGAAGGATGTGTGGATCCAGAATTGGCCTCCACAGTCACTTACGGCCTCACTTTTAAAACCGTGTTTATAGAAGACAATCTTACTCGGCGATGAGTGATCGCCAGAGAAGATGATACATGAATAGAATAAAAAGACAGGCAGCCTTCTTTAAAGCAAACTCAAAGTACAATACTAAGCAGTGCATTTGTTTTCATGGGTACTTTACCTGCTATTCAATGTCATTTTATTCTACACTAGCTCAGGTGTCAGAATCTCAATTCTGCTGCATGCATGAATCCAAAGATGTACGTGTGACAACAGCGCAGCTTTTAAGAGTGAGAGAAACCCCGAGCCTTAGCCATTATCACCATGTTTACTATTAGATAGACAATAACCTGAGAATTCAAGAGTTGGCACACCTGGAGCCATCTCTTACAGTATCTAATTCCTGTATGCAAGACCCTTCTGCCACAGAAATATTTTGCATCTAGAGCACACTCTAGGCCAGGCTTCCTCAAACTCGGCCCTCCACATGTTTTGAGACTACAATTCCCATCATCCCTGACCACTGGTCCTGCTAGCTAGGGATCATGGGAGTTGTAGGCCTAAAAACATCTGGAGGGCCAAGTTTAAGGAAGTCTGCTCTAGGCAATGCACTGCTTGGCAGCATTAGGTAACATGTGAACATTATACAGTGGTACCTCGGGTTAAGTTCTTAATTCGTTCCGGAGGTCCGTACTTAACCTGAAACTGTTCTTAACTTGAAGCACCACTTTAGCTAATGGGGCCTCCTGCTGCTGCCACACCGCTGGAGCACGATTTCTGTTCTCATCCTGAAGCAAAGTTCTTAACCTGAAGCACTGTTTCTGGGTTAGCGGAGTCTGTAACCTGAAGCGTATGTAAGCCAAGGTACCACTGTACAGCTCTGCAAAGAGCTTTCACCCCCAGGGACCAGAGAGGATGCATGACTGCATCTCCTGTCACCCCATTCACACAAGCCGACCCCTATAGCAGCTGTCCTCTTGTGCATGTGTCAGAAAGGAAATGAAGAATGCATGAGATGCTGTTGACACAAGGCTCGCCTGCCTCGCTCCCTTAACCGCTTCATCGGCTAACTTAGTGTGCAATGTTCTAACAGGGATTTATACCTTATCCAAGCAAGCTTAGCGCAAACTGCTCCTAGCTGATCATTTCAGAGCCTTGGGACAGAACATTAGTCGTGGATAAAGAAAGCCAAAACTACATTCTTTATTTCACACCCGCTCCCCAAGAGGCCCGACGCACTTCCGAGCCTAACCTAGTTGTGGCGGAAGAGTTTAAGGCCCATCCAGGTCCAAAGGTGGAAGAACACATAAACTGGGATGGTAACCGGAAGGAGCAGGCTGTAGAAACATAAGCTGCTTGTGCTAGTGCAGCCCTGGGGAAAGTTTTCGTCCACGCTGGCCGAGTAAAACAGACCCGCCAAAGACAAGAGTGGGACGAGCACGGTCATCGTAGGGAGTGACAGGAACATTCTTCCTCCACTTGCGCTCGTCTTCACGTCCAAAGATAATCGTCTAGGTCTGCCCAGGCTCCTCTTCCTGCTTCTCTTTGCCAATCATCCTTGCAGCCTGGGGTATCATATTAGGAATGCCATCAGTGATGGGGTAGGCAATACCCAGTTCTTCGTTAATTAGTTCATTGGTGGATTCTTCATACCTAGTAAAAAATACTGCATAGGTCAGACTTACTGCTTTCACTGGTGTAAAGTATATTATTATTATTTACAGAAAGGCGAACTCAAAACCAAAACTAAAAATGAGTAAAAACAACCTAAAATGCTCACCAATTATATATCTATATCTGTATCTATCTATCTAGATAGATAGATAGACATATATATAGATATAGATGTGAGAATGATCCAACACAACTCCATCCCACTAAAATATAACCAGAAAATTAAGGTCCCAAAGCTTGGGTGAATACAGTGGTGCCCCGCAAGACGAACGCCTCGCAAGACGGAAAACCCGCTAGACGAAAGGGTTTTCCGTTTTGGAGGCGCTTCGCAAAACAAATTTCCCTATGGGCTTCCTTCGCAAGACGAAAGCCCATAGGGAAATCTCCGGGACAGTGGGGAAGGCTGCTCCGAAGCCGGAAGGCGGGGCGGGAACACCGCCTCCCGCCGCCCGGCTTCAGAAGGCTGCTCCGAAGCCGGGCGGCGGGGCGGGCACACCGCCTCCCGCCGCCCGGCTTCGGAAGGCTGCTCCGAAGCCGGGTGGCGGGGCGGAGACACCTCCCACCGCCCGGCTTCGGAAGGCTGCTCCGAAGCCTGGCGGCGGGGCGGGAACACCGCCTCCCGTCGCCCGGCTTCAGAAGGATGCTCCGAAGCCGGGTGGCGGGGCGGAGACACCTCCCACCACCCGGCTTCGGAAGGCTGCTCCGAAGCCGGGTGGCGGGGCGGGGACACCTCCTCCCGCCGCCCGGCTTCGGAAGGCTGCTCCGAAGCCGGGCGGGGTAGCCGGAGAGACCTTCTCCCCGCGCCAGCCTTCGGATGGCTGTCCTGAAGACTTGGGGTGGGAGAAGGGTTTTCCTTCCCACCGCCAACATTCAGAATGCTGTTCTGAATGTTGGCGGTGGGGAGGAAAAACCCTCCTCCCACGCAAGCCCCGGGAACAGAGGAAAAGCGCTGCGCGCCTTCCCCTCTGTTCCCGTACCTGTCCTGAAGGCTTGCGGTGGGGAGAAAAGCCCTTCTCCCCACCGCCAGCCTGGCAAGCGGTTTCCATAGGAACGCATTAATTGATTTTCAATGCATTCCTATGGGAAACCGTGCTTCGCAAGACGAAAAACTTGCAAGAAGAAAAAACTTGCGGAACGAATTAATTTCGTCTTGCGAGGCACCACTGTAAAAACATTTTTGCCTGGTGCCTAAAAATAGGTAAAGATAAAGGGACCCCTGACCATTAGGTCCAGTTGTGGACGACTCTGGGCTTCCAGCGCTCATCTCGCTTTATTAACCGAGGGAGCCGGCATACAGCTTCCGGGTCATGTGGCCAGCATGACTAAGCCGCTTCTGGCGAACCAGAGCAGCGCACAGAAACGCCATTTACCTTCCCACTGGAGCGGTACCTATTGATCTACTTGCACTTCATGCTTTAGAACTGCTAGGTTGGCAGGAGCAGGGACCGAGGAACGGAAGCTCACCCCGTCACGGGGATTCGAACCACCGACCTTCTGATCGGCAAGTTCTAGGCTCTGTGGTTTAGACCACAGCGCCACCCACGTCCCTCCTAAAAACAGATGATAATGGCAAATGATAATACTATAGAAAGAACGCATAATGGGCAACTTATTATTCCGATATGTCATGGTCATCATGTTTGGTATGCCAGCGACTTACAATTTCACACCTTATAAGAACATTTCTTGCATTGGTGCATTTGCTGAAGGCTCCTCCCCCAACAATATGGGGGTGGGGGGATGTTTACTGCACTTTCATAAAGATGCAGGTCAGATCAGTTGGGCCTCCCTGTTGCCATGCGCCAACTGAATGTTCTAGAATAGGCATGTCACCTTCGCGTGGTGTCACACTGCGGAGAATTAAGTTACCTCTCCGGAAACCTTACCCTTCCGTTTACTGATCTTGTCCTAAAGGAATTCCCAAGAACCTTAGAAAAACTATTCTCTCCTGACCTCAGTTCTTCACCTGAAATATGGCGATGATAATGCTGACCTACCCTGCAGGGCTGTTGTAAGGGCTTGCAGTAAGATGGCGTCTGTGAAACTCCACGACCTTTCTAAAGTGCCATATCTTAACCGCGCATTGCATTGTATTTGCATTAAGCCAAAGGCGCGCGAGAAATTTATACCAAGAAACAGCCCTTTTTGCAGAAACCGCTTTTTGCAGAAAGCCATGAAGGGTGGCCTATTAAATCTAATAAATAAAAAAAGCAATAAAAAGGAGGCGAGGGCAAGGTGGAAGGCGCATTCGGACAGGGAAGGACGCAAGCGGAGAAGGGCAGCTGTAGGCGACACGGGTTTAAAATTTAAGCGTGGGACCCGGGTTGCAAGAACGTCTGGAAGCAGAATGACAAAGGCCTTTGCAGTGGAAAGGAGGGGTGGGAATCAACGCAAAGGCAGCCGGCTAACCTGAGCGGCTTCTTGGACAAGGGGCACGCGAGGATCTCCAGCAGGCCAGGGTCGAAGGGCGGGCGCTGCTGTCCTTGGGCGCCGCCCGCCTTGTCCTCGCTCTCGGCCGCGGAGCACCACGCGCGCCGGGCCGCTGCTCTCGCCGGGGCCGCTCGCGCCGCCTGCCCCCAGCGCGGAAGGCGAGTCAGGAGCCGGAGCCCGGGCAGGGCTTGCATGGTCTGCAGCTGCGCCCTGACGCTGCGCTTCCGTCTCTGCAGCGCCGAGGCCAGCCAGGAAGGGAATCCGGCTTGGGCAGGATCGTTTCCTGGGTCAGGCGATCGCTGCTGCTGTTGTCACATAGGGAGAGAGAGGGAGTCTGCGTAGTTGGTTCCTCGTAGTCGATCGCTCAACTGCTAGGTGGTGCTGAAGGGCTGCATACGCTGCATAAGCTGTGGAAACTTTTGTAGAGGACGCGCTTCGGAGGAAAGCGCTGGGCATTTGTGCATTTACTTGCAAGGAAGCTTCGTTGACGTGGAGTAAGATGCACGCAGAGGATCGTGGCTGCTGCATTTGTGCGTTTACTTGCAAGGAAGCTTCGTTGACTTGCAGGAAGATGCACGCAGAGGATCGTGGCTGCAAATCCCAATGCGGGCTTGCTTTTCAGGAAGCCTCTTGGAACCCTCTGGAACTTCTGAGTAAACGTGCATGCATTCGACTGGGGCTCCGCTGCTGCAATCCTGTGCATAAACGTGACAGATCCTAGGCATGTTCCTTCCAAAGTTAGCCCCACTGATTTAAATGGGACTTTCTCCCAGATGTGCAGGGCATTGCAACCATACTTCAAAATGAATGAAGAGAGGGGGACTTATTATTTCTGGGTAAACAAACCTAGGCTCGGATCCTCAATACGTTAGTAGCTACAGCCAAGGATTGCAGCTTTACATGGGAGCAAGTCCTTCTGTTATGAGTGGGCCTTATTCTGAGTAAACCTTTGTACGATCAGATAGCACAGTTTATGCAAAATCGATTTAATCCATGGATGGGGAAGTAGTGTCCCTCCAGATGTGGTTGGATCCCAATTCACATCAGCCATAGCTTGCAAGGTCATTGGTTTGGATTATGGGAATTTTTGGAGCCATGCTTTCCGCATCCCTGAAATCAATCAAGCCTCTTCCGATTTCAGCTGGCTTAAGGGGAGTTGCGACAATTCAGACACAGTTTTACTTCTGTGCAGTAGTCCTGCACCCCACTCTGTCACAGGAGGTGCAGCTAATTGGTAAAAAAGTTTTTTTACCAAGTTTTTTTGCTAAGATGGCTGCAGCCATTCCTGGATTGAGAAAGCTGGACCACCATTGTCCATGCATTGGTCACCTCAAAGTTTGGTTACTCTGCAAGACACTCTGTGCAGCTGCCCTTGAGGTTGGTTTGGAGGCCACAGCTGCTGCAGAACATGGCAGCTACAGATGGCTGTGCAGGCAAACGACTGCCAACGTATAACACCTTGCTCACGGGATTTGTTCAGGCTGCCAGGTGAAGTTCAGGTATGTTCACCCAAATGCAGGCGGCCTGTACAAGTCAGGATCAGATTATTTATGCAAACCTTATACAGTGGTGCCTCGCAAGACGAAATTAATTCGTTCCGCAAGTCTCTTCGTCTTGCGGTTTTTTCGTCTTGCGATGCACGGTTTCCCATAGGAATGCATTGAAAATCAATTAATGCGTTCCTAGGGAAACCGCCTTCAGACCAGGTCCGGGGACAGTCTGTCCCCGGACCTCTTCTGAAGGCTGGGGGGGGACAAGGGCTTTTCTTCCCACCCCCAGCATTTTAAAAAACCCTGGGACAGCGGAGGACTTCTCCGCTGTCCGGGGCGATTTAAAAACCCCTGGGAAGGCAGGCAGGGGGACAAAGACTTTCGCCCCCTGCCCGCCTTCAGAAGGTGTCCCCGCCCCCCGCCCCGCTTCGGAACAGCTTTCCGAAGTGGGGCGGCTGGGGCAGGTGTCCCCGCCCCCCTCCCCGCTTCGGAACAGCTTTCCGAAGTGGGGCGGCTGGGGCAGGTGTCCCCGCCCCCGCCCCACTTCGGAACAGCTTTCCGAAGTGGGGCGGCTGGGGCAGGTGTCCCCGCCCCCCCTCCCCACTTCGGAACAGCTTTCCGAAGTGGGGCGGCTGGGGCAGGTGTCCCCGCCCCCCCTCCCCGCTTCGGAACAGCTTTCCGAAGTGGGGCGGCTGGGGCAGGTGTCCCCGCCCCCTCCCCGCTTCGGAACAGCTTTCCGAAGTGGGGCGGCTGGGGCAGGTGTCCCCGCCCCCCCTCCCCGCTTCGGAACAGCTTTCCGAAGTGGGGCGGCTGGGGCAGCTGTCCCCACCCCCCACCCCTTCGGAACAGCGTTTTAAAATGCTGGGGGTCGGGAGCGAAGCGCTGCCGACCCCAGCATT